TTGGTAATAGTCTATTGCCTGGATTTGAATGGGGGAGGAAGAGGAAGAAGGAGGGAGGGTGGGAGAGGGAGAGAGAGAGAAGGAAGTAGGGAGAAAAGAAAGGAAGGAAGGAAGGAGAGAGAGAGAGAGAGAAAGGCTGGAAGTAGGCTGGATGTTACTATTCCTGACAACTGTAATATTAGTATTTCTGGGCTTGAAATTCTTTTTTATGCAAATTCTTCTGTCTTTCTGAGTGAGAACTGTAGTTTTTAGTAAAAGTTGTGTAACTGTAAGGATTACATTAGATAGTACATGTGAAATATTTAGAAAAGTAGCCCCAGGTATGTCTTAAGTACTGGAATCAGAGTGCCTAGGTTTGAATCATAACCTCTTCCTTTACTGGCTAGGGTATTTCTAGGCAAGTTCATTACCCTCTGACTCTCAGATTTCTTTATATGTAAATGGGGTATAAAACAGTATCTACCTTATAATGTTGTTGTATGCATTAAAATGGATGATGAAACATAGTCATCTCTCATCTTAGGATATCTTGAATTCCCCTACTGCTATGAGCACTAACACCTGTCATCCTAACAATGATTATTTCTGACCCTAGTGGCTAGCAGCTTACCAATCTACTGTGTTGCTAGACTGCATGTTTCCTGGTGCTAGCTAGACCATCACATTGTTAGATCAATATTTAATCTACTCTAAGGATTTCTGTTTGTCATATTTGTATGGATCAGGTTGCATTTAATTACTTTCCACTCCCATTTTCTGACCATAAAAGTACAGATGAGTAATAATGCCTAATCTATACCAATAGCTCTATGCTAATCTTTGATACTCACACAATGTACAAGACTAATAATACTGTGCTTCTACTGTGTACAGGAGTCATTTCTCATCTTCCTGGCAACCCCAAAAGGTGGATTTTATTATCTCTAATTTACACAAGAGTAAATAAGCTCAGAGGAGTGCAAGATCATGTCCAGAGTCACAAAAGGAGTAAGTAATGATCAAGGGTATTTATGAATCTAGATTCCATTCCCTTCACTGTAATTCAAATGGTCTTGAGTTCTACCAGTGTGAAAGGTCAAATCGCATTGTCTTCCAACAAGGCTTTATGATCATTGAAGGCAGAGAATGATTCAGCATTCTCTTGTACCTCCGGTGCCCAATTTAATGTTAACCTCATAATAAGTACGCATAAAATACCTGATGAGTAGTTTACAAGGACTCGGTTTGTATTTAAAATTCAACATAATTTGACAAGACTGAATCTGTAATGATATTACAGCCAGAGAAAGAATGTGTTACTCAGACATTCTCTCCATCAAAATATTTTTCTGCTCTCAGAAGCTGTGTGAGTTGGTGAAAGAGACTTGAAGCAATAGCTATTTAATCAGATATTTGTTCCCAAAACTCAAGAATCTTCATACTGTTTTACTTATATAATCGTATATTTAATTCAAAAATATCACTTGCTATTAATTACATGCATAAGATAAATAAGAGCATATTATGTTGTTTACTTTCATGCATTAAATTCGTCTGCAATTTGCTATACTTATCTCACGATAATTAATCCTCAAATACTATTGTTTAGTGAGCCTTGTTGCGCATTTGTTTGTTTATTTTCTGTCTCTTTGAACTAGAATACCAGCTTTCATAGAGCAGGGACATTTACTCAAGGAACAGTCTCAGTTTTCTTCACTGCTAAATCCACAGCACCTAGAGGGATAGCTAATCATATTAAGTGAATAATAGCTACTTATTGCATGAATAATCTAATCCATGAACCAGCCTTGGACATAAAGTCCATCCTAAACAGGGCTCCTTTCTGAATGCTGAGTACCACGGAAAGTGGCCAAGGTAAGCTGCAGGGAGTCCCAGAGTCTAGTAAAGCCAATGCAACTAAGACTGCAGGCTTCTGGATTCAAGCAGATCTAAAGGCTTCTTCCTCTCTCACTTGCAGGTTGTGTAACATCAGCATTGCTTTAGAACCACTCTTAGCCTGCCACCTCCTCTGTATGGTTCTTATATAAAATTCACAAATGCTGTCTCATTCGTTTACTCAAAAACCATTTATTGAATGTCCTCTATGTGCCTGGCACTGTCATGGGTGCTGGGAATAAAAAGAGGAATAAACAAGAATAAATACATTTCCTGGCCTCTGGAAGTTCACAGTTCAGTTAATAAGACAAACACGTTACCACTGTTTACAGCACAATGGGATTAGGGCTAAAATAGACATATTATGGCTTGCTATTGGCAGATATAGTAAGGAAAGCTTTTGTTGTTCACATTCCAGTCTTTCTGCCAATAAAGCCTTATACCTTTAAAAGGCCTGAGACTTGCCTCTTGAATTGTCTGTGTGTAAATTTTAATATGGCAGAGAGTGCAAGAAATTATTTCTGGTTCAGCTATATCCAAGTGTAGCTCAAAAATTCAAATGGAAACAGACATGGCAAAAGTCACAATGGAGCAAAATATAACTTCCTCTGTGGAGATTCTCATTAAAGTTGGCATGTGAGTAGTATTCATAGACCTCCAGGATGCAAGAAAGGATCTTCAAAATAAGCACCATCGCTTTGGAGCAGAAGCAGCTGAGGCCTGATTCAGCTCTGCACAAGAAAAATGTGCTGAGGCTGCTCTGGTTGGATGTGGTTCTGGAGTTTTTAAGGCACAGAGATGACTCAGACGGCATCCCTGTCCTCTGGGAGTTCACACTCTAACAGTCAGAAACATAAACAGATAATCTCAAGGAATGCATATTTTTCTTTCCCAGCCTACCCTGAGAGATATTTATCAATTCCTACCTTCTCTGCTTTCTACAGATGAGCAAACAGGGTAGTTTCAGTAACTACCCTGTTCAGTAACTTGGGTGGTAGGTAATGGAGCAGGGGTTTGCATCCATATTTATCTGTCTCCAAAGCCAGACCTCTATCCACTCACTATGACAACACTTCACGTATATTGAACTTTCTGAAATATACCTGCCCTTCCTGATGAGACACGTGTAATGCTTCCAATAGGGTTCATGCCTAAAAAATCTCAGCACCCAGCAGAAAAGACCATCGCTGTAAAGTGCTAGGAAAGAGCTCAAAATTGCTGCTCTGAAACCAACAGGCTGGGGTCAACTATTTCACTTTATGGTGAGTCTGAAAGGAGAAGGAAGCATGATGGAAAGTGAAAGCAGAGCCTGGGGAAGTGCACCTTTAAGTTCCAAATGAAAACAGATGGCCTTGTTGTAGGCGTGAACTTGGAATAAACTGTACAGAGCATTGGAATCAGGCTGATCCAGTGATGAAAACTGACCACACTGCTATTTAGCTCTGTGTCCCTGACCAAGTTAAAGTTTTGTACAGCTTGATCACACCCACGCACCCTCAGCCTGGTTTTTAGAGGCCTTCCTCTGTGTTTCCAGTGACTCATCTTCTCAGCCCTGTCAGTATTCTCATCAAAATGTTTGGCAATTACATTTCTGTATAACTTTCTGACCACTAGACTAAAAGCACTTTGTAGCCTAGGCCTGGTTCTTCTCCGTGTCCAAAAAGCCCAGTCATGTTCAGTAAATGTTTATTGTGTGACCCACCCCTCAGTAAAGGATAGCTAGTATTCCACCACCACATTCAAACTTCTCTTCATTTCAAGGCGGATTTGGGCCTTTCATCCGTACCCTGGGTTTATAATTCTCCAGACCTTCCACACCTAACATATTTGCCTCTTGATGAATCTTGGTCAACTCGTTATTATCGTATTCACTGATCTAGCCTTAGGGTGAGAGCCCATTAGATGATTTACTAAAACTTTCTCAAATACAAACTGTGATACACAATGAGTCTTTAATAAATACTTATTGGAAGAAAAAAACTTGTTGAGTTAATACAAGCCTACTAATTGTATTATTTTATGTCAGAGTTTAAATTCATAGATATCATTTTGACAGAATTAAATATGTGAATCCAATGACTGGTGAAACTGTCGACATAAGTGAACATTTTCACACTCACAAGGAGATGACTTTCCTGGTTTTCCTCATACTCCTGTGGTAACTCCTTTTCAATCTATTTGAATTTTTCTTCTTCTTGGTAGTTGTCTTTTTGATGGGCCAGGCAAAGGCTTTTAATTCATCACTTACAGTCCCATTTTTATGTTCTATGTATGCATCAGCTTTTACCCACTAGACCTCAGGAAATCTAGACTGAAATACAATAAGCATTATCGAATATTTATTGAATTAATTGATATTTTACTGTGCTACTCATAGCAACAGAAAACTATCTTCCAATATGGGATTAGTACAATAGGTACCATAATTTGGCTATTGTGTATTAGATGTCAAGTAAAGTTTTCCATTGCATATGAGGTGTTGAGGGAGCAGGGAATTCTGATTCATGTTTTCAGGGTCATCCCTCATTATAGCTAGCACAGTGCACACCACAGGACATAACCTGGGTTAACATTTCTCAGAACTCAGTCATGCATTCACCACTTTTAAGATTTTTTACAATTATAGATACCATTGTGCTGATTTTTTTCTAATATTTTCAGTGAAACAGAATTACTTAAAATTGAAATTAACTTAAAGTAACATATGCAACTATAAAAGTGGACAATCAGGGTAGGAAAGATAACTTCAAAAAGAAATACAATAAAATGTTTAAAAGGTTTTTTTTTTTACTTTTTTATTGAAAAATTTCCTTAAATTACTTAAATCAATTTACTTCAATTAAATATTTTATTCTTCATCATTTTATTAAACCAAAATAAAAATGAATAAATAATAGATTTCCACACTACTAAACACTTCATATGTATTCTCTCATCCAGTCCTTATAAAGCAACTCAGAATGCATAATACCATTTCCATTTTTCAAGATGAGAAAACTGAGACCAGAGAAGTTAGAAAAGATGCCCAAATCTGCTATGCCACAGATTTAGGAGGGACACCCACAGTCATATGATGCCAAAGCCCACAGACTGCTGAGTAAGCAGCGTAGGCCATTGTCAGCTTAATTATCCACCAACATTCTCTCCAACACAGCTTCATGGAATTTATGATCTCAACGCTATCAGCCAACTTCTCATCCCTGAGACCTCTCCCCAGATCCCGTGGCAAAATGCTCAGGATACCCAATGGGATGAGGTATGGCATTTTTTTCTTCCTGAAATGCAGTTAGAATTTCTGTCTTTTAGGGGTGGGGAAATTTGTTTGTATGCTTTCTGAGAGAGAAAAAATTCATTGTTTATAATATCCTGCTGTCAGCCAAAGATTGTATTCTGAGGAGGGTCCTTTATTGCAGAAATGGTTTCTGGTTGAAAGAATGCAAATCGCAAGCTTAGATTCTGCTTCTGTAAAAACAGATGACAGAAGGGGAGGACAGAAGGATGGCTTCTATTCTTGGGGAAACAAGAAGTCTGATAATGGATGAAAGATTTAAACAGTGAGAAAAAAACTGGGCAATTGCCAACAGGATAGGAAATCTGAGGGAAAGATCAGAGATCTTGAAAGGAAATGTTGTGGTGATTTTCTATGGAGTGTGTAATATCAACGCTCTTCCCCAATCACCACAAAAAGGTCTTGATGTGGCTGTGATATACTACATGTTTACTGAAAAATAAAACACATATATGACTATTAAAATTTTTAATGTCCAAGTAGCACTAAAATTATTATGAATATCACCAGTTTTCTGTGTTCCACACTTATGGAAGCTCTTACTTTCAGAAAAGAGAAAAGGCTTTGAAGTTAGACCTGGACTGGACAGTTTCATTTCAAGGAGGGCAGAACAGGTAAGCAAACAGTTAACAATCTTGTTTATAATTCGACATGCTACATTTCACAGCCTCAGATAATACCTCAGTTTTCGATTCTGGCATCCTTTCCACAGAGTTGCAGAGCAGGCCATGGCATTCCTGATGAGATAGCCATCTTCCTGGGAACACCCTTTCCTCTCGGACAATCTAAAAATTCAGCAGGACCCAGTACCCTTATAATGTGACAGGAGCCTCTGAGTCAGCACTAAAAGGAGTTTTCCTGAAGCCCAGATGCATGCAGTACACCTTCCTAACTATTTAATGAGTGTAGAAAGACCAGACAGCTCAGAAAATGACAGCAACATTAGAAGCATCTTCTCTGGAAGTTCGGTGCCTCATCCAGTGTGAAAGGCTTGGGAACTGCACTTGTCCCTTCTCTCACTGCTCTCTATGGGAGGTCGAATCCTCAGAGAGAGAGTAGCTCTCCACAATATGAGTGACATTACTGGCAAAGAGAGAGATCAGCATACTGGAAGCAGCACAGGGCTTTGAGGCAGTCAGATTTGGGGTTGGAAAACTCCAGCGCTAACTAGTTGTGTTTTCTCGAGCAAGTTGCTTAACATCCACTTATTCCTTAAAGGAATGTGTATTGAGTGCTTGCCATAAACCAGGTACTATTCTCTCTGTTAATTTCTCATCGGACAAATGGAGGTAACAATAGCACCTACCTCCTAAACAAGCCCCTTACTGAGACCACATGAATTAAAGGGGCCCACCTCTGTTTTCCCAACATCCCCTGCTCTCATAGCTTTCCTGCTTCCCACACATCAGTACCGTAATTATCTGTGTCTATTAGACTGTGGGCTCTTTGAGCCTGGGACCAAACTTGAATCATCATGTGTACCTACAGTACCTAGAACCTAGTGCTCTGAGGGTCTTCAGTAAACATTTATTCTATGAAGAATATGGAACATTCTACACACCCAATAAAGTTTAGTTGTTATTGTACTGATTATATGTTAGTTGGTAATAATATCTTCTAAACAAGTGACTACAGGACATCTTTCAACTCCAATTTTCTTCACTAAGAGAAGGGTCTATGTATTTCAACCCCATACTTCTCATGATTTCCAGAGCCAGTATATTCTTGAATTCTTGATTTCTTAATGTATCTGAGTGTATCTGTTAGTGTGATTTTCCTCCTGATGAGATTGAACTGAATAATTCACTGATTGCTTCCCACATGCAGAGTAATGGGTATATATAGGCATGCTAATTAGAATATTTTATTTTATAGGTAAAAGTCATAAGTATCATTCAGGCTTACATAGATATATTTGATGATGTGAACCCAGGGATCAATGGAATTGTCAAGTACAGGTAAGCACTCTTGTATTCACAAGAGATAGTCCTGCTGGTTTTCCTCCAACTTCTGTAGCCACATCTTCTCTATTTCGCTTCTCTCCTGTTTCTCTATGTCCCTTCTTTGCGCTCCCCTGTTTCTGTACATAGGATAAAGACCATATTTCCTTGGTATTTACAGATCTGGCATATAGGTCATTAGTTGAAACCTCATAGGTATACTATTTGTTGAATTAATTAATTAACCTTAGTAGTGACACTGATAGGAAAACAAGCTCCCTAACGCAGTCTGGAATGAGAAAAACAAGTGCCACCACTATTAGTACCAATGTGTAGCTTTGTGTATCAGGTACCAGATCAACTATTGTGGTGAGTTATGAGGTACTGAGGAAGAAGAACTTTGACTCCTTTTACTGAGACATTGCACATGGTAACTGTCACAGTGAATCAAAGTTGCTTTTCCCAGATCTTGGTCATTCATGTATCATCTTCAGGATTTTTAACATATCCAAATACCACCTGAAGAATCATTTGATTAATAATTCCATTGAAACCATGTAAACTTCAAATTTAACTACAGTTTAAAAGAAGCCCCACATCATGATCAAGAATGGAAAACTAATGTTTCATGTCATAGAATATAACTAAAAATAAACACAATGAAAAACAAATAGTTGTAAAATTCTTAAAAATCTGAAAAATAACAGAGGTGCTGTAGCTGATTACCACTATATGATAAAACTAATATGTCTCCTTTTGAGATATGGGAAAGAAATTTTTTTTTTCCTGCTGTATTCTAAGGAAGATGCCTGTATTTTAGTGCTGGCTTTTGGTATTACAGTGTCCACAGAAGGGGTTCAGAGACAGCAAAATTTCCATGTCTGAGGAAATGGATGGGGGAGGGGCTGTAAAGGCAATATAAAGTATTAGTAATTAACCAAAAATAAACAGAACCTCCTCTGTTCTGCCTAAAAATAGTGCAATTGCAGATTTCCAAACTCACCCTCCAGGAGCAGTGAAATCCTGCATTTTCTCTGAATGCCAAGAGTTTGTAAGTGGACATAAATAAACTATCGCTGCTACAGCTTGGGTTCAATCAATCCAATTGCAATGAGGCCCTAGGTTTAACACTACTCTTACTGCTCTTCCTGGACAGGAATCTTGGGCAACCAAGCACACCTGCCATGCTTCAAGAAGAGCCAGTCACATCAGTATGGGGGGAGCCACTGGGGTTCTAGTCCAGTCACAGGTCAGGATGCGATGATATAGATCATGGAAGAAGGATCGTTGTCCTTTCTATCTTATCCCTTTTGACCACACAACTAAGTCCTGGACTTATTTTATATTGATGTACTTTGTGCTATGAGGACTTAAAACAGGCTGTAAAGGATTCACTTCTATTCCCACTGGACAATGGCTGATGATATCAGCAGTGAAGTTGTGACCTCCAGTGGGTATTGGAAGAAACTGTACCATTCTGGATAGGTTATTTGGGAAGCCCGTGTCTTGGTTGACTTCTCTTCAATGTGTCTGGGTTTCCTGAAGTCAGAAGATTTCTGTCTGTAGGAGTTCCAGGAAATGAGCCCTCTGACATCAAAAGACTCTTCGGTTAGAATGTTTTCTTTGCAATAAGACTTCCAGGCATCAATTCTAGGCACAACTGCTTCCAGTATAAAAAGAAGGCTGCCTAAAACAAAGAAGAAATAAACTTTCATAACTCCCTTGCTCATCTCCCAAAACAAGTCTACCTCTCATCAAGTTCTGGGAAGAGTCCTGGATGGTGCATTCCGTGGAGGATATAATAACACTGTGGTGTGTCAACTTGGGTAGGCAAAATTATATTCCCCAGAATTAACTTTCTATAATGTTTCTTGATAAGTGGGCTACTAGAGATAATCTCTTGTGTGAATTAGAAGATGGAAGGGAAGTAGCAGCCATTCTATGGCATACACACTACTCCCGGTTATTTAAGCATGAATATAGTTTCTGCTGCAAAGGGATTTTCCAGATGTACTAGAATACCCTAATCAGTTGACTTTGAGTTAGAGGAATTGTCCTGGGTGGGCCTGACTTAATCAGTTAGAAGGCCTGAAAACCTAGGTAATACCATTCAGGACATAGGCATGGGCAAGGACTTCATGTCTAAAATACCAAAAGCAACGGCAACAAAAGCCAAAATTGACAAATGGGATCTCATTAAACTAAAGAGCTTCTGCACAGCAAAAGAAACTATCATCAGAGTGAACAGGCAACCTACAGAATGGGAGAAAATTTTTGGAATCTACTCATCTGACAAAGGGCTAATATCCAGAACCTACAAAGAACTCAAACAAATTTACAAGAAAAAAAACAAACAACCCCCATCAAAAGTGAATAAGGATATGAACAGACATTTCTCCAAAGAAGACATTCATACAGCCAACAGACACATGAAAAAATGCTCATCATCACTGGCCATCAGAGAAATGCAAATCAAAACCACAATGAGATACCATCTCACACCAGTTAGAATGGCAATCATAGAAAAGTCAGGAAACAACAGGTGCTGGAGAGGATGTGGAGAAATAGAACACTTTTACACTGTTGGTGGGATTGTAAACTAGTTCAACCATTATGGAAAACGAGCAAGTTCCTCAAGGATCTAGAACTAGATGTACCATCTGACCCAGCCATCCCATTACTGGGTATATACCCAAAGGATTATAAATCATGCTGCTATAAAGACACATGCACACATATGTTTATTGCGGCACTATTCACAATAGCAAAGACTTGGAATCAACCCAAATGTCCATCAGTGACAGACTGGATTAAGAAAATGTGGCACATATCCACCATGGAATACTATGCAGCCATAAAAAAGGATGAGTTTGCGTCCTTTGTAGGGACATGGATGAAGCTGGAAACCATCATTCTCAGCAGACTACCACAAGAACAGAAAACCAAACACCACATGTTCTCACTCATAGGTGGGAACTGAACAATGAGATCACTTGGACTTGGGAAGGGGAACATCACACACTGGGGCCTATCACGGGGAGGGGGGAGGGGGGAGGGATTGCACTGGGAGTTATACTTGATGTAAATGATGGTTGATGGGTGCTGACGAGTTGATGGGTGCAGCACACCAACATGGCACAAGTATACATATGTAACAAACCTGCACGTTATGCACATGTACCCTACAACTTAAAGTATATATATAAAAAAATTCTTTACAGTGTAACTTTAAAAAAAAAAAAGGGGGCTTAGGCCTTCTTTGGGAAAAGAGACACTTGTACCTGTAGAAACCACCTTCATCCCATACCTGAGGAGGCTCTGGCCTACTCATGATCTTTACTTCCTGACTGGCTATTCTATGGACTTTGGACTTACATAGCCAGCCCCCACAATTATGTAAGTCAGTCCTTTGAATGTGTATGTGTGTATATATGTGTATCTCCTGCTGGTTTTGTTTATTTGATTAAACCTTGAGTAATAGAAAAATCAATGTGTTTTCTTAATTAGAAAAAGAATAGAAAAGAAAAAGGTTGTTTTCTCCTGTATGTTTTTTTTTTTTTTTTTTTTCTTTTTTGAGACGGAGTCTTGCTCTGTTGCCTAGGCTAGAGGGCAGTGGCACGATCTCGGCTCACTGCAAGCTCCACCTCCCGGGTTCAAGCAATTCTCTTGCCTTAGCCTCCCGAGTAGCTGGGATTACAGGCGCCTGCCACTGTGCCCAGCTAATTTTTGTATTTTTAGTAGAGATGGGGCTTCACTATCTTGGCCAGGCAGGTCTCGAACTCCTGACCTCGTGATCTGCCCGCCTCAGCCTCCCAAAGTGCTGGTATTACAGGTGTGAGCCACCGCTCCCTACCCTGTATGTCTCTTTTTAAGAGTAAGGAAACCATTTCCAGAAGTCTCCTGCCCTCAAATTCTATTTCTAAATACATTTTTTAACCCTGAGTAACATCTTAGTCCACTTCAGATATTAGTAATAAACTTTTACCATTTTCCATCCACTAAAAAGTCAACTCCTTTATTTGTGCCTTTCAAACAGCTCTAACCTATGTTGGATGATGAGGAAATGATGGGAACAAAGTTTTCGTATTGGTCTTTGTGACCCAAATGAGATAGATTTTCCCAAACCTGCTGGCTGGGCATCATGTTAGATTCTAAGATGCAAAAATGAACAAGCTTCATGCTGGGTTCGTGATGTTTGCTAAGAGACAGAAAAGAAAAAAGAAGCTACAGCAAAGGGTATATGTGCTCTCTGAGATACAAGAAATACAGAGTGCTTTGAGATAGCACAGGATGGAAATCCCTGCTAGTTTACGGTGGCCTCTTGGAGGAAGAGATTTATCAGCTGAGACTTGAAGGGACATTAAAAAGACAGCCAAGTGGAAAGGGGAGGGCAAGTTTTCCAGTTAGTGGGAACAGTATATCTGAGGCCCTGAACAAGTCAGAGAAAGCTTGATTCACATGAAGAACAGATTTCTCTCCTAGCTCTGACAATAATATATTGAGCTTATTTGCTAATACAGCATCCCTGCCTCTCCATATACACACTGTATCATGAGAAACTTGTTTTATTCATTTGAATGTTGAATTTCCTAATCTAGGAATGGGAACTAGGGAGCTAGGGATGCAAGATCCTGGGGCAGGATGGGGACTTTTTAACCTATACCTTTTGTTATTTGCTGATTTTTAAAAATTCTGTGAAAGTATTACATAATTTAAAAATTAAATATGTGGTCGCATGCGGTGGCTTACGCCTGTAATCCCAGCACTTTGGGAGGCCGAGACGAGCGGATCACGAGGTCAGGAGATTGAGACCATCCCAGCTAACATGGTGAAACCCCGTCTCTACTAAAAACACAAAAAAATAGCCGGGCGTGGTGCCAGGTGCCTGTAGTCCCAGCTACTTGGGAGGCTGAGGCAGGAGAATGGTGTGAACCCGGGAGGCCGAGTTCACAGTGAGCCTAGATCACGCCACTGCACTCCAGCCTGGGTGACAGAGCGAGACTCTGTCTCAAAAAAAAAAATAAATAAATAAATTAAATGTGGAATTAATCAAATGGTAGCAAATCCTAAACATTACAACACACACATAAAATAGGGAAACGTATCATTTGTAATACCATCATTCAGAGATGTTCAGTCAACAGTTTTTATGTGTTTATATATCTTTCTAAACTTCTAACTATGCATTTGCATGTACACACACATCTCTATTTCAAAAGCTGCTTTTCTCATTTGACCTTAGAAGATGAATATAATTTTAATGTCAATATATGGTTGCATCACCATTTCTAATATCTCCATGATACTCAATTTCATGGATATAGAATAATTCTTTTAACCATTGCACACTTTGATAAATACTTAGGTTTTTTTCTGATTGTCTATGGTTACAGTGCTAATTCAGAAGAGCAAGGTACAGAATAGTTTGTAGAGTATGCTACCATTTAGGTAAAAATGGATTGGGAAGCTATTGATCGATATACTTATTCACTTGGAAAGTTACTGAATTCTTTACCAAATGAATGTTAGAAACTATTTTTAGAATTTCACAAAAATTTAAATGAAGATTTATTCTCACAGGAGTGTGCTATACTAGAAATAACCTATAAAACCCTTTTCACAGAGAAGTCAATCCTCTTCAACCCCTCCACTCTTCTCCACCTCCAGTCCTTGACCACCAACCAGATAATTTTTTTTTTTTTAAATAGATTCTCCAACCTGTCCCTTTGCCATCCTCTGCCCTGTAACCTCCTGTACTTTTTTTTTTTTTTTTTCATGAATCACCTATCATTACCAATCATCACTCTAAGGGGGACAGCCCTTTTCCGTGCACACACTGTTCAGTGCCCAGGGCCTGGGTGTTTTGAGGATTCCAAGAAGCAGTGATTTATTTTGCATGTAGTAGACATAATTAGGCCATTACACCCAGCATACAGGGAAACCCACCTTCCTTTCACGTCCTGCACCCCTACTTGCCTTAAGAATAAATTTGGGACCCAATTTTCCTAATAGTCCCTTTATTAGTAACCTGACAACCGTGACATTTTGTTTCCAGAAAAACGAACCTCCACTCTCTGGAAAATCACCTCCATTTTCCAGAAAGCCTCCTACAACTGCAGCCACTCTAGCATGTCAAGAAAACTCTTCTCTGTGGCTTTAACCCCATCTCTCCTAGGGTGGCCATTTATTTTAATGTTGTGGCCAAAGAATGTCAAAGGAGCAGCTGGATTTAGGAGTGCGTGATATTCCATAGCAAAGATTTGATGGACTGGAGAGGGAAAAGGGAAGGAGAGAGAAAGGGAAGGAAAGAGAAAGGTTTAATAGCAGACAGTGTTGTGTAGGGTTTTCTGGGGCATGTTTTTAAAATCCCATCTGTATTTCCATATAAAATATGACTTTCTGTCTTTTTTTTGTTTTTTCTTTTCACAAATGGAGAGGCAATAGTGTACTGTACTGGGTTAAAATAATGGGTACTAGGGCCAGACCTATGCCTGGATTCAAATCTCAGCACCACCATTTAGTAGCTGTTTAAGTTGACTGAGGTCCCTTGGTTTCCTCAAGTGTGATATTGAGAAAATAATAGTACCTGCATTATAAGTGTTGAAGCGAACTAAATATGGCCTGAGAAGGACTCCGTACTTCTATATTTGAGTCCTTGTGGACAAACTGTAACCTAACTTAATAGGTAGACAAGATTGCAAACCTAATTTATGATTATGCCCTGTAACAATAGCTGAGTCATGGCCAATCCCAACAGGCATACTTCAACCACTCATAGACTGCTAAGTGTTCAAATTGTGTTCAATTAAGCAAACGCAGAGCTGTAACCAATCCAGTTGTTTTGGTACTTCACTTCCGATTTCTGTATGACACTTCCCTTTTTTTTTTTTTTTTTTTTTGCTATAAATCTTCTTCCACCATGTGGCTGCACTGGAGTCTCTCTGAATCTGCTGTGATTCTGGGGACTGCCTGATTCGCGAATCATTCATTGCTCAATTAAACTCCTTTAAATTGAATTCAGCTGAAGTCTTTCTTTTACCATAAGGTTGCTGTGAGAGGCTGGGCACTGTGACTCACGCCTTAATACCAGTACTTTGGGAGGCCGAGGGGGGCGGATCACTTGAGGTCAGGGGTTAGAGACCAGCCTGGCCAACATGGC